ATTGAAATCAGAAAGTAACTTGGTTAAGCAGATTTTTCCACTGGTTTGAACACAGCTAAGCTTTGTGGATATCTTTATTTACCATTAATTTCAACTTAAGGGAAAAATTACGTAAATCAATTTATAAAATGTTTGGAAATTTTATTCGAATATTTAATTTTCTGAGTACGCTAGTCGCGTTTCAGGAAATGAGTAATATCTACTTTTATTCACAATGCAGTGAGCAGAAAATAATGTTATCTGTAAAGAATTAAATGCCTAGAATTCAGAAGTAAACTAATATATCCTATTAATATAATACCGTGTAGAGTGGTTTAATTCCCTATTTTTATGATACATTTAGACTTATTAGCAATTAAATGATTGAATTATCAATAAAACTGATAACACAACCAAAATCCTAAAAAGAAGAAACAAGTGTAGGAAATTGAGCTAGAACCATCCCTGAATATTGAACAAAATTAAGAAGAATAAAAAGGCTAAACTGGTCAGTAAGTGGCTCAAACACAGAATATATTTTGTTAGTATAGCAGACGCTATATGATAAGTGCCTGCACCACATATTCCAGGTTTAATTATCTAAAATTAAGTATAATAAGCAAAAAATCCAAGTAACCCACAAGATACGCAAATATGGCAAAAAAATTTACTATTTTGGTCTCGTATTCTGAATTTGAAGCATAATTAACGGTTAACTAATACTAAGCTAGTAATAGATTATTCATAACCTATTTTTTACATTATTTTGAAATAATCTAAGCTTTTAGTAAGCAGAATTTGTAAACACTACGAATATCTTATAGCTAACAAATTATCTATAATCTTAGTAGTTTACTGTGAGTAAGATTTCTCAAAAGGGAAAGTATTATTCTTACATGTTGTCTTTTGACCAACAATTTTGCAACATCTTATATCAATATAAGGCAATTTTCTAAACCTTAGAAAATTTAATTTTGATTTGTTGGTATTTGAGAATGTCTAAAAACGAGGGCTGAATATTCGGATATACTATTCTCTTTCGTTGATTATTTAAATTATAAATTCCTCTATGCAAACCAGGATTATAAGACAAAAGCTCGGGACAATAGTTCATATAAACAGATGTATCAAATTCAAATAATGGATAGTCAATCATTGCTTTAGAATGTTAAGCCTAATGTTTATAAATTTGCGCAAAGGATAGTGTAGCAACAAAAGGATAAGCAACGACAAAAACATATAGACTTGATTCTTTTCAAAAGAAAAACTACAATAGCAATAATTTTTATTTATTAATCTAACTATTTTGATTTTTTTATCTGGGTTTTTTTTAATTTGA